GCTACGTTTACATCCTTCCAAATAATTCCCACAAGTTTCATGTGAGGCACAAAAAAATCACCACATAAAACAAATGACAACACAACAAAAAAAGCAGTCTTACAAGATGTTATCTGTGTTTAACTTACTAGGAATAGGTCTAAGGACATCAGGAATGAGAATCTCCACCAAAGCCTGGTACATCACATGGTCACAATTACCCATCCATTTCAGAATAGACTCATTTTTGCACAGAGTAATCAGTTTTCCTTTTGGAAGTCGACTTTCTATTTCACTCAGATTGCTGGTGTGAATAAATGCAACAAATGAAAATGCATTTACATACAGATAAGAAAAGTACAATGGACTTTGATATTGATTATTTAATAAAAACTTTATAAATGTCCCTGATACATCCAACTGAAACTCTTTAACTCCTTCATATGAAACTGGGGAAAAATGGCCTCCAAAGTTCTGCTCCAGCCCATAAATTATGCAAAGGTATGATAAAAATGGTCCTTGCAATTTAAACAAACTGGACAGTATATTGTGAAAAGATACCTGAACTTTAGTAATCCAAACAAAGGAAAAAATAGAACATGTATCCAATCATTTCAAGGCTGCAGTTTGACATATACCAACAGCCTATATGTCAAATAGCAGTCACCACAAATTTAACCTGAAAAACTACTGATATCAGAAAAGGTTCTTAGCCTGTATGTAAAACTTTCTTTGATTTGACTCCTGCTGTTATATTATGATGGTGAACAGTAAACAAAAAGAGACATTTACTGACCTCAGTTCAATAATAGCTGTGTCATCAGCTGGAGCAGAGGGAGAATAGCGCCAGAAAGTTTGCCACAATTTTTCTATCAGGCTAAATTGAAGATTCACAACAACATCCACTATTGCCTAAAAAAATACAAAACAATGCAGATAGACTTCTAACCTCAACACCCCCCTGCCCTCCTCAGCTCCTCCCATGAGTATAGTTCCCCCTGGTCATTTTGGGAAAAAAAAAAAAAAAGTAAAATGCATGTTTATAAATAAATGTAATATCTTTTAAAATAACTTTTTAGCAACAAATTTTCCAACTGTCCATACTAGCATGGACAGAGACTCAGATCAGGCCAGGTACTAGGAAGCCTCCAGAAAATAGCCTAAGCAGGTGAATTCACCTAAACAGAACTTTTAACAGTATTACGAACACAAAGGAAACCTGCTATTTCATGATTTTTGTTTCATTATAAGTTTTAAAGCACCTTCAACAATAATTTCAAAGCACATTATTCAATATGAAATGTGGTCTTAAGTTCTTAAACTTCCTGCTTCTTTAGAACTTGAAGAAAAAAGTGAGCTTGTTTTTAACATAAGCATTAGAAATAATAATTTAATCTGATTTAAGCTCCTAGAAACAAAATCAAAACTCTGTCTATATATTATCTAAGGTATAATTTCTCAAAAATCCTCAAAACCAACACGATTACATTCCAGTATCAATATTCTATGATATGTTATTTTCTTTCCCTCTAAAGAGAGAAATTCCAGAGAAGTCTGTTTGCAAATGTCCTTTCCAATGGAATAAGCGAAATATTTGAGGAGCACATTAGATACAAGTAGGCTGGCTGTAATGTGTTTTGTGATGTGTTTTACTGCTTCTCACTAGAAGACATGAATTTTTAAAATAATTAGAATTTATATGAAATGCTTCTTTTCTCTTACCTCACAGTGCTCTCGATAAAGACTTTGCAGTGATTTTATGTCCTCAGCTGTAGTACCATCTGGCAGAGAAGGTATTTCAATTTCTCCAAACTCTGGAAGTACTCGAGATGCATCTGTTTCCATGACAACATAACAGAAGCAAGCTATTGTGAATGGTGCCAATTACAGTTTGAATAAAAAAACATTTAAAGATGATGTAAGGAAATAAAGTCTAGAAGGTCATAATGCCTAAAGAGGAATGTCTTTCATACTTAATATATTTTAAAGTTGCAATAAAATTGTGAACAAACCAGCTAGCTATTTTTAAAGCAAAATATGTTAAATTATTCTTGATAGATAACAGATAAAAATGGTTTCACATACATATTGCACCTGTATATAAAAAAAATTAAGACAAAATTTCTGATTATGATACACTAGTATGATGGGAAAAATTCACTGTCAACTGGAGGAGCAGTGGAAGGGAAAATTCATAGAATCATAGAATCTTAGGGGTTGGAAGGGACCTCGAAAGATCATCTAGACAGTAAAAAAATTTTTTCGGATATTCACCTTGAACCTCCTATGCTCCAATTTACACCCATTACCCCTTGTCCTATCACTGGTCATCACTGAGAAAAGCCTAACTCCATCTCCCTGACACTCACCCCTTACATATTTGTAAACATTGATGAGGTCACCCCTCAGTCTCCTTTTCTCCAAGCTAAAGAGACCCAGCTCCCTCAGCCTTTCCTCATAAGGGAGATGTTCCACTCCCTTAATCATCTTCGTAGCTCTGCGCTGGACTCTTTCGAGCAGTTCCCTGTCCTTTTTGAACTGAGGGGCCCAGAACTGGACACAATACTCCAGATGTGGCCTCACCAATGCAGAATAGAGGGGGAGGAGAACCTCTCTTGACCTACTAACCACACCCTTTCTAATGCACCCCAGGATGCCATTGGCCTTCTTGGCCACAAGGGTACATTGTTGGCTCATAGTCATCCTCCTGTCTACCAGGACCCCCAGGTCCCTTTCACCTACACTGCTCTCCAGCAGGTCAGCCCCCAACCTGTACTGGGACATGGTGTTGTTCTTCCCCAAATGCAAAACTCTACACTTGCCCTTGTTGAATTTCATCACGTTTGTCCCCGCCCAATTCTCCAGCCTATCTAAGTCTCTCTGAATGGCAGCACAGCCTTCTGGTGTGTCAGCCACTCCTCCCAGCTTAGTGTCATCAGCAAACTTGCTGAGGGTACATTCTATACCCTCATCCAGGTCGTTGATGAAGATGTTGAACAACACTGGTCCCAGTACCGACCCCTGAGGGACTCCACTAGTCACACACAAAACCATTTGAACTATAGCCAAAGGTTCCCAATTATTTCAGTAACAGGAAGGTTAGGCCAAAAGATGTGGTGCTTCAAAATTTCAATATATGAACTCAAAACTAAGCATACAATTATTGCAATAACACATTTAATAAGCTTTTTTACATTAGCAAATTACTAAATTACCATTTGCTTCCACAACTGAGAAATCAATATGTTTAGGAACATCAAGGAATGAACAAAATGCACATTTTTAAACAAGAACCTTGGGTTTCTGGTGTCAACTATTTGGCTCTTTTAATTTATAACATTGCAGCACAAACTCAATACACCTTCTTGTCAATGATCAACACAACTGCAGTGCAAAAATATAATCCCAGTTTATATGCATATTAAAAAAATTGTGAAGCTGTGAGCTTTTAGGGCAAGATATTCAGTATGCATTTTTGTATAAAATGCTTCATCACAATTGCATTGCAATATATTTTAAATCTATAATACAAGTAGATTTTGCACATGTTTTCTTTTATATCTGCATGGTGCAGAGTAAATATTGCATGTCTTACAATATAGAACACATAGCTTCTATGAGTATCCTTTTGTTCTGTTATCAGTGAGAGTTTTAAACAGGGCAATATAACCAAAATAATTATGATATTTGTACGACTTGATTTCATGGCTATAATGGGGTTTATTTTATTTATACAGCAGTGTAATACATTTTCATACCTAAAAACTGTTGATGATGTTGACTTTGGGCAATTATAGTTTGTTCAGCGGATGTGCCTGTCTGTTGCCCACTTCCTGTGAAACCATCTGCAACTCCATCCACTTTCTGCACAGGCCTGTACCTACAAAATTATCAAATACAAAAATATTCTTTATGTTCATATTCTGGTTTTACAGGAACAGAATCATAGGCCAGCTATGGAGGGCAAGCCATTAGTAGGCCTGAGTCAGCTGTGGGTTAAACTCAGGGCAGCTCACCCAAGCTGACTAACAGGTGTATCTCATACCACTTACATCATGCTCATTATAAAAGGAGGAAGTTTGTTTAACAAGGGTGCTTTCTCTTGTTATTTCTTTTTGTTTTCTTGTTTTTTTGTTGTTGTTTTTTTCTGTTGTGTATGAGTGCTAGGCTGATTATAAGCTTGTATACTTCATGTTGGTGTTTGTATTAATTTTGTTACTTCATTAAATCATTTTTTGCTTTAATCTGTGGGTTTCTCTCTTTCTCTGAATTCACCTTCTCAGCTACAGGCATCAGGTAATGGAGCAGCTGCTACAGTTTTTCCCTGTCTATGGGCTAAATGTAGCTCACTTTGTTTGTAAGTGTGGTATCACACATAATTCTGTCTAATTTCCCAGTCTCAATATACAGTTTTGCTAGTTCACACATGAGGAAAAAGTACCATCAGAGTAATCGTAGTAAGGAAAGGTAGAACATTGATAGTGCATTATAAAATTCATAAAGCTGATACTGCAGTGCAATTAACAATAACCTGTAGAATTTAGTTTAAAAACTATGCCATTAAGATATAAAGCTCATTTATACTAAAAAAAAAAGCAGTTTTTCCTCTTCCAAAGTACTTGCCTTTACATGAAAGAAGGGCCATGTAGCTGTTGGTGTTACTGAATTGAGTTGCTCTGGTCTCTATTTGATTTGGGAGAGGGTGAGAGTCCCCTGGTCTGCCTGTCAGATGTGGTGAAAGCTGTGCAGGGTTGGACTAAAAGGGTACCCGTTTGTATTCGGAGCCGGTATGTCTGCCCATAAGACATAAGCAAAAGCTATTGTGGGGTTGGACAAATTTTGGTAGTAGAAACCTAAGTGCCTAGAAGTCTTTGCTGTTTATATATATTGTGTGGTATCTGTAACAGTTTTAATACATTTTGTTGGTATTTGTGTATGTGTGACTGAGATGTACAAACAAGTACAAAGCAAGTGCGGAGTTTGGATCAGCTGTTCTGTTATCCTGCGAGGTGCAGCCGGAGAAGAACAAAGCAAAAGACTGAATGATTTTGTGTGGACTTTAACAGTTCCAAATGAACACATTTTTAAGAGTAAAAGTGTTGGTAATTTGGCTTCAGATGAAAAGATATCAAAAACCTCCCTACTAGGGTGTTCTTTAGCCCATTGGAGAGAATTACAGGATGATTTGCAAAAAGGTCAAATGATAGGATATTGTAACCATTGGTGGCCCCTGTATGTTTTAGAAGATCAAGAAAAATGACCCACAAATGGAACTTTGAGCTGTAACACTGTATTACAGTTAATGTTGTTTTGTAGAAGGGAAGGAAAATTGAATGAAGTTCTGTATATAGACTTGTTCTTTTATCTGAGGCAATGAACTGATTTGCAGAAAGAATATAAATTGATTAGTTGAGACAATTTAGTAATGGTTTAACTTCTGAAAACAAAAAGATGTTGCTCCGTATGTGATATTGGAAAGAGCTGTATTAAATGTATGGTGCCAAAAGATGAAACAGGACTAGAATTAAGGTAGCTCCTTCAAGAAGAGGATGGGAACACCATAGGCAGAGACAGTGGCATGAAAGGCATAGTGAATCAGTGGAAATAGTGGATCTAGAGAGAAGTGGAATGAGAGATGAGGAAGTTCTGGTGCATGCTCCTGTATCTCAGAGAACTAGACAGCAAAACACAGATGTTAGCCCCTTTGAGACAAGGAGTTGGTCGAGATGGACCTGTACATGTGAAAGTACTTTTTTCACTTGTGGATTTGATGGCTTGGAAGCAGGCTGCAGGAACTTATAGGGAAAATCCTGAGAAGATGGGCAGAATAGTGGACACAATTATTGGGGGACAGGATCCAGATTGGAATGATTTGTAGGTGATACTGGATAATTTGTTGGATGAGACAGAGAAGCAAATGGTGCTGAGAGTTTTTAAGTCACAGGCAGAAGTGGCAGTGATGAATGGGACTTTAGAGCAAAATTTCCTTCTGGAGATCCTGAATGGGATCCAAACCATGTGAAGCACAGACAGAGACTGAATCGGTATCAGAAGTGGGTTTTGTGTGGGGTGAGAAATCCAATACCTAAAGCTGTAAATTGGTCAAAGCTATATGAAGTGAGACAAGATAAGAATGAATCTTGTTCTGCATTTCTGGAAAGATTAAAGGAAACTACCAGAAAATACACTGATTTAAAAGTGGAAACAGATACAGCACAAGTGCAACTGGCCTTGATTTTTATAGGACAGTCTGCACCAGATATAAGACAAAAGCTCCAGAAAATGGAAGGAGAGAATTAAAAGAATCTGAGTAAGATGTTGGAGGTGGCATGGAAAGTATATAATAATTGAGAAAAAGAAGAAAGGAGAGCTAGGGAGAACAGGCTGTTGGCAGTGGTAACAGGAGTGCCAGTGAGAGGCTGAGGATATGGGGGAAGAAGCAGGGCCATAGGGAGAGTTGAATTTGTAAACCTTGGAAACCAGAACTTTAATGCTGTGCTTACTGTAGAGAAGGGCATTGGAGGCGAGAGTGTCCAAAGTTAAGGGGAGAATCAGCAGGAGGAGGCAAAATTGATGATTTTAGTTGAATGAAGGGGACCAGAGGAGAACCCAGCTGAACCTCTGGTTGTAATTAAGCTGGGAAAAAAGGAGATTACATTTTTAGTGGATACCAGAGCAACATTCTCAGTTTTGAATACTTGTAAAGGGAAATTGGGCACCAAAACAGCAAATATAATTGGGGCTACAGGAATCCCTGGATTTAAAATTTGGAAACAGAATAATTACACATGAATTCTTGTATGTACCAGAATGCCTGATATCTTCATTAGGGAGAGATTTGCTATCTAAATTAAATGCACAAATTGTTTTTGAAAATGGAGAGCTCCTTCTAAAGATACCAGTCAAAGACAGGAAAAAATTTGATGATACAAGAAAAAATAAAAGAACAAGAAAATCCACAAGAAGTGGATTTGGCAATAATCCCTACAGTATGGGACACAGATAAGCCTGGCAAATAAAAATTAGCACAACCTGTGAAAATAGAATTGAAAGAGGGTGTACAAAGCCAGTGAGGATTAAACAATATCCAATCAAACCAGAAGCCAGGAAGGGGATTAAGAAGTTGATTGATAAGTTTGTAGAATATAAAATTCTCAAAGAATGTGAATCCGAATACAATACCCCAACCTCACCAGTTAGAAAAACTTCAGGTGATTATAGGTTGTGTCATGGTTTGAGCCTAACACAACAACAAAGAAAAAGAAACAGCCACATGGCTGCTCACTCGACTCCCACCCCTCACACACACTCTGAGATGAGGAGGACAAAGTTCATGGGTCGAGAAAAAGGACAAGGAGGGTTCTTCACAGATTAAGGTCCCAGGCAAAACAGACTCAACTTGGGGAAAAAATAGTAATTTAATTTCACACTAATCAAATACACAGGACACAGACAACACAAAGAACAGTGCTTACATGTATTACCCCACTGCTCCCTTCTTCCCAGACCCAAATTAATTAGTTCCCTGATTTTTCTACCTTCTTCCCCCCAGCGGCATAGAGGGACAAGGGATGGGGTTTAGAGTCAATTCACAGTCTGCTGGTTCTTGCCCCTCCTTCCTCCTCAGGAAGAAGGATTCCTTACAGTCCTTCCTTGCTTACCCATGGGGTCCCTCCCATGGGAGAGAGTCCTCCAAGATCCTCTCCTTCATGAGTCCTTCCCACGAGGTCCGGAGTAAGTTGCTCTGGTGTGGGCTTCCCACAGAGTCATGGGCTGCTTCGGAAACGGTCACCTCCCCTGGGGCTTGGGCCTTCCACAGCTGCGTAATCTAAGTCCACTGGCCAAGTTCACCCCTCTTGGCACCTTCAGGGAATGCTCCACCACGTTCCTCCATGAATGCAAGAGGATAGCCTGCCATCTCACTATAGGTTGCAGGGAAACTTCTGCTTGGGCACCTTCTTTCCCTTCTTCCTCACCAACCACCTGGGATCTTCACCCCAGCACTGCCTCTCAACTCTCCCACTACATCTACGTGAAAACATGGACCTCTGAACCCTTGCAGGAATCCTGGAAAGGACCCTTTCAGGTACTGCTAACTACTTTTATAGCCATCAAGATTACAGAATCAGAGACATGGATCCACTACACCAGAGTGAAGAAGGTGCCCCCTTCATGGAAGTTCGTCAATAGAGATCCAAAGACTTTAACTCTAAAACATGTATAATTTTACATATCAGTTTGGGATTGTTGTTATAGGTCTCATTTTGATTTGGAGACTAATGCTAGTGGGAGCCTGGTTTAAGTTCAAAATTAAGAGACAAAATGGGACTGAGACTTATGAGAAAAATTTACATCTGAAGGTAAGGAATAAAAGACAGGTAGAAACGGATCAGCTGATATACCTCCCAAGGAAAGTACCAGAAGAAAATTTAATGGTTAGCTTAATTAAAGAATTTGAAAGTAACACAGATTACTGCTTGTTTACCAATGCCAAGAGCAGTAGGTGAATCAGTTCCACGGGGAATTCTAACAATGAATTTAACCAATATATAGCACAAAAATGAGTGATGGAACCTGGACAATGCATCTGCCTCTGGATGGAAAAGTAAAAGAGATCACCTTAGGTATGCCAATTTTGTGCCCAATTTGGAAAAAATCTCCCTTTAAGGGTTCCCTAAAAAATTTGGGAATAAAGTGAATGAAGAGGTCAGAGGCAGATGAAACATGGAATGAACCAGTGACAGGAGTAAAATTGGCTGGGCTCTAGAATCCCTCTTAATTCCCATAGCATCATACAGAAACAGGGAATGGCTCTATCAACTGACTGGACAGGTGGAAAAGCTGGTGAACATCATCAAGAAAGGATTTAGATAATTGAAT